GCACAATTACTCAGAATAGCAAGCGGAACGATGACCCAGATCCTCATTGGTGATTCAAATGCCTATAACATCAGACACTGGTTATTGACTTTTAACACATTCCATCGTCAACAGTAGCAGTTTTGCTTGGACAGTTCAGGAGGAGGCATTAGACTGTTCAGTTTTTAAAGACTATGTGCCTGTGAGATGTTTATTTTATTGTCTAATGAATTGTAACTGCTTGGTCCGTGTTTTCTATTAAGTGACTTTACAGAAAGTAGGTTTCCCCCTTTCACCAGTTCGTCGGTACTTCCCTGAGCTATCGGGAAATCGTCTGTTTTAGGTGGTCTTATTGGAGAGCCGTAAGTTTCGTCAGAACAAGACGACATTATGGGAGCCGGCGGTGATTTGTTATCGATTGGTGTGGTTCTGGTTATCGTCTTGTCAAGATCTCATCATCCAGATAGCCATTGTACGATGATAATGCGTCACATTGTAAGACAGAAGGTTTATGAACTTCGATTTGAGTGCACTTAAAAAGAAATTATTGGTACATGCTCGTTCAGAGCAAACGAACCCGTAAGTTTATCAGTATACGCACGTCTGCCAGTTAACTTCTCAGTTTATACAACCTCTGTAGTCAGTATTGATTCGCGAGTTAGAGTGGAATGTGATGGCCGTTGTCCCGAAAAAACTACTGTGATAGCGCTGCATCACAATGAAATGGAAAACAGTCATCGATCACCAAACAGATTGGTGGTGCCTGAACGACAATATGTTGTTGCAAAGACTTCCACACTAGGACCGTTGCTTTGAAAGTCGTCACAAGACCTTTGGTCGCGTAAAGAAAGAGCTGGGAGTCCTAAGCAGGTGCTTTCGGCGCAGTTGATGTCCTTTGGTTTACATTCAGAAATTGGTTTCATATTTCAAGACCTGGGAATCGCAGGCTTTTTGAATGACAATCAGTTTGTACCAAAGCACTAAAATCAACCACTGTACTGGGTATACTCTTTATTTACACTATTCTCTAGGCACAAAGCAACCTGGAAAAGCATACATCAGGCTGTTGTCGGTTTTTACCCCTGGAAGGTTCGCGTGCCAAGTCACGTCAGATGTTGAAAGCTGTCTTGCCCAAGAAAGTAAACATTGCGAATTAATTCTGTCAGAAGTTATGATTTGACGTCAGTCTGGTATGTTCAAGTGTTACTATTCACGTAACGTATACAAAATGAGGGAAGGAAGAGGGCGTCCTACACAGGAGGCTAGGGGATCATTTGGCTGAGAAGTTTGAGAGCCACCACTGAATCGACAGGCGTATGCATACAGTTACGTCCGGCGTCCACGGCAACAAATTAATTGTGTCCAAGTCAATTTAAAATAGAGCCAACTTATCGCCCAAACCAGTTAATACTAGATACTTTCTCAGTTCAGTCACCAACCACTGTATTTCGGAAACAATGCGCTGTAAGCCTGTTTAGACAACTGTTACTCCCAGCGATTGTAGTAGATAAAACAGAAAATCTGTAGGGGACTTCTCATTCCAGAACAGAAGATCATCATCTGCTATGATGTGATCATCTGCCTCCTGTTTGTTCGTTTAAGTTTAAATGGTTTTGTAATCCGGGTAGGTTTGTCTGTCGGATCAAACTCCACACAACCTTTACAGTTAATCTGATTTTCGCTTATCCATTCATGAAAACTTTTGGCGAAAAACAGTATCCATGCATTCAGTCAGGATAGTTGTTAAAGTATTCCCATATTTTCAAACTCACAGTGCTACGTCACAAGTCTCTCTGACAAGCAAAAACGACTAAACAGCGTTCTCATGCAATAATATCTGCGTGGTTATCAAGATGAAACAGCCCCCAGTATTCTATGGATGAACCATGGTCTAGATGCGATACAAAAAACCTGTATCAGGCCGAGGAGCGTTGTTACGCGTTAGGTGTTCGGATCATTGACTTGACCTTACGATAATTTCCCCATTCATTTACTTGCTCTACCCACGTACTTTTGACCTCAACTTGTTTTGGTCATTTACACCCACCGTTTCTCTTCCAACAAAGGCAGTACGGTCCCACACTGGTATATTATCGTGTCTGTGTGTGAATGTGCGCAGTTGACCTACTTACCCATGCGTTTTTGTGGCCCGTTTGATGAGCTTGCCCTGACTTGTTCTGTCACGGTTTTCGTGTAATCGCTGCCAATCAAAAAGTGACCACCGCAACCCAAGATGCCATTCTCCATTGTTTGGTTTGCGGACCCTGACACAGCACTGTGGTAGTCAGTGAGAATTGTGCACTTGCTGATGGCATGACCGTGGACGATTGAAGTTTGCCGTGTAATTCTGTTCGCCTTTGTGTAAATAGTACGTAGACTTTCGAACCCAGTTCTTTTTGATATTCGGGATTATCAAACCTACCCGTGACTCAAAGATACATATCGGGAACTTCAACAACTGTTTTCCAAACCTAATATCAATTTAATTTCAATTAGGTTGGTTGTCCTATCCATGCATTCTAGTTTCCATACTCCCTCGGGATGCCAGTGTTTGACTAAGCTTGACGGGCTCAACTATGACAGTTTATTTTCTGCATGGATGACACGGAAAGAGGCAAGGCTAGTTATGTCCATGGTACTCCTTGAAAGTACAGTACATTGAACCGGCTCGCGAGCTTCTATGCCTTTTAAAACAGTTAGCGTGGGACACAGGATATAGAGAGTTGCCTCTTTTTGCTGAGTTCCTTCTCGAGCAGAACTGCGTGAATGACAAAAACTACAGGTAAGGGTTTACTTGTAAGAGAACAAATCACGACATAAATTGCACCGAGCTCTGCAATTGAAAAGGAATGGATTTTTCTGGTCTAATTCAACGAGTTTTAAAGTAACAGCAAGCAACAAACAGTCCAAATGACTTTCATTCGTAACGGCCCTGAACCCCATTGAGAACCAACTAACAACCCTCCATATAATCACTATCTTTCAAAGCCACCGTACGCAGTAGACTACCCGTTCCTTCATTATCCATCCCTCACATTAACTGTCATCGAATTCGCCGTTATGGGAGCGAGCCATGTACTAGCAAATTTGAACATCGTAACTATTCAGTATACCAGTACAGTGAACATGCTGGTCTATCTGTTACAAAGAGTAAACTCTCTCTTAACGGACTTGTGAAAAAATTCAGCAGGGTCGATCCTATTATGATTGTAGATGGCCAACCCTTGACTTGGGACAGGGGTATGAAAGAAACCACGAGACGCTTGGTTGCTGTCGGTTCTACTCGCCCTCCAGGGTGGTGATCGCCTGATCTCCATTGCGCATGGTTGAAGACGCTGCAAGTTGTGACTGCCACTATATGTCAGAGGAGTTCTTGTTGTCAGTTTCTATCCAGATTGCCTGAATGAGTATCTCGAGATGTAGGCACCTCGGAGTGATTGTAGTAAGCTAGCACTGAGTCCCTTCCCCGTCCACCTCTACTTTTCTCTTCGCAATAAGGCTTTCAAATAAATCATGGTTGTCCGGTAGTGAAGCATCAGTGTTGTGCATGGATGTCATGCTGTGGATGATAATGGCGATGAGGATACTAAGGTTGTGTAGGTTCCGTACTGAAAGATGGATATGAACAGTGATGTGGTCCAATTTTAGCTGCAGCTATTAAACAGAGGAGTGTTGCGTAAAGGAAATGGTGTGATTTGTGGGAAAGCGGGCTACTCCTCCACAAAATCAGTTATTATATTATCCAGCGGGTGGTCTATTCTTTAGAAATTGAAGAACAAGTGGAGGGGGTGAGAGATAACTATCACCGCTTCCGGCACTCTTCGTCGTATTATTGATCACTGCTCATTGGATTCGATGGTGTCTGTAGAGTGTATGATCTCAAAATCTGTGCTGGTTCCAGACGCTAGCATGATAGAGTTCATTCATTCGTGAGCCTTGCTGATGACATTTCGAACTTGTGAAACCCCTGAGAAGAAATTCAACAAATGACCTTTAGCGAAAAAAGTGGGGGAGTAACTGAGCGCACCTGGTGTGGAAGTTTTTTCGGGTATATCTTAGACATGCTGATGCGGTCCTTAGTTGCCAACCCGTTTGGAGCAATGTTAATCATAATGAGTGTAGCCGACTTAGTCGCGAGTAATACATTGAATAATATGATTTGTCTACTGTCAGAGGCCCCGACTTACAATTAGCCTCACAGGATGCCGTTTAATTCGTCGCTTTAATTATTGTCAACCTTCGGCGGTCCAGTGGAATATCTTTTATCCATAAACTACCACAGATGGAAAGTGTAAAAACAGAGGACGCCTGAGGAGTCAAAGTCTACCAATGGACATTTTTAGGAGTTATCTTCATCTCTAGCGATACATGATGCGAATTTCAGGAAAAGAAGGACGCTAGGTCTTTGGCAGCTAAGATTGGATCAGCTGAGGCAAACTTGCAGTACGTGGAAGCGGGTTTTGTTTGGGTTTAAAGAACCACTTCTGTTTAGAAACTTACTTATTCTCGCAGCGATTCGATTGGCCTATTTATAAAGAATTCTTATTGCTCCGAAAAAAATTTGCTAGGGTTCGTAGCCCATGTACAATGATCTTCAGCTTCGAAACAGAACGGTTCTGCTTCCGCTCCGTATGTACCATCCACAATCACATTTACTTGGGTAGTTTTCTGTTCCTACTCACAAACCACGAAATAGCTGGTCGGATTTGGAAAATGCGCACTATTTGGTCTCCAAAATTGACCTTGAGGCTGACAATAATTGGGCGCTGGCGGATGAATGAAACCCACAATTTTTTTATAAAATTAAGGTGGTCATAACACGTTAACACAAATCTGCCCGTTCATGCGTACCACCAATGACAACAAAAAGGATTCATGCTATACTATCGTTTACTTAGTCGTGATTACGGGCGAATGAGCAATGAATCTTCTGAACGTAACTTGTCGAAATGATTGATAGTAAACATCAAATCACGTGCACAATAATCTCAAAAGAAAGAGGGCTCTAAACCTACACCAACTCAGGATCGAGCTTCGAGCAGTTCCATCACTCCCATGGCCAGCTCGTCCTCCCACGGCTTTGCCACCACTTGGATGTTGATCGGCAGTCCCTCTGCTGCATCTAGTTGTTCGGCATACATAAGTCCTCGCCTTAAATGTTTGCCAGGTTCAACAGAGTCCCTCGCCTTGTAGATATCTTCCCGTTCTACACGACCATACTGCAGAGTACCGGCGGGACATCCAAGCATATTGTACAATGAAGTGTAGAGTAGCACACCGTTGACAGTATAGAAGTCGGAGCGATCCCACACAGCTGGTAGTGGAGACACAGGACATAACAAACAATCCAACTCCTCTTCGTTCCATTTATCGAAAAAGGATCGCAAGTATTCTTCAGCTTCGCACTCCAACTGTGGGCGGGACGTGGTGCAGCCATATCCACGGAGAGCCAATGAGGCTACTTCGTATCTCCACTGCATACGTGTGGCCCGAGTGTAGCAGAGTACCTTTCGCAATAGTCCAGGTAAGGCAAACAGCATATTCACAAAATGCTGTCTGTAACTGGATAGTATATCTCCATGGCCTAGTTTGTAGATAACACGAAGTGTTTCCGGTGCCAGCGTGTTTTGTAACAAGCTAATGACAAGCTGATAGGCCTGAGCTGGTTTCGGAGGTGCGAATTCAACCACTCGATGTCCTTTGTTTTCTAGGTACGCTATTGCCTCGTTCATAACCCTTTCGACGGCCGATGAAGCAGGTAGAAGATCAGTGAAACCGGTGTAAAAACCAATGGTAAGTTTCTCAGTTTTACCCCTGTTTAGGAGTTTCTCATCAAAAGGGAACGGGCACAAACAACCGTCCGCTTTAAACAAGGCCGATGTCCAAAGACTGCGAAATGCATCAACGATATCCCCAGTTGTCTGCCCAATTGGGCTAGCAACAGCACCAAGTGTTTGTGGGATTTTCAGTGGCAGGTCCAAACCCTTTTGGCTTATACGCCCTGGAGTTGGTTTGAAACCAACCAGACCACAAGATGCAGCAGAGAGTCTCGCATCTCCAATGATGTCAACAGCAAAGCTAAGAGGTGAGGCACGATGAGCAACCAATACACCGTCCCCACTGACACATGCACGATGCAGATGAGTTGGATGACGTGTGCGACCGAAAATGGGGTTAACCGAAGTCAAACTGAGCAACTTTTGACGACTGTTAGCCAGCAAGAAAGGAATCGCACCGGCGTTTCTTAAAGCAGCAACGAACGCGCAGTCTTCCTCGGCTGGATGTTTTGCTTTTGACGTGAATCCCATTGTGTGATCATACCCTCTGACCGGGAAAAGCTCCTGTAGACTCACTGGAATTCCATGAAGAGGACTGAGATTTTCAGGAGACTCGGTGGCAAGCTTACCATCTGCCAGAATTGCATAAACATCAGAATCGAACACAATTTCGGCGATCGCTCCGGGACTGGATCGAAAAGTGTCCAATGCGCGGCGCTGGAAAGCGTCAAGCAAATCTACAGCAGAAATCTTCTTCGAACGAAGCTGTTCGCGAATTTGTGAAATTGACATTTCACCAGCCTGTTCCACAGTAACAGCAGGGTCTTTGGTGGCTTTAAGCTTCTCATGAAGACGACCATGTTTATCCAGAATATCGTCTTTTTTCTTACGAAGTTTCTCCTTTAGCTGGTATCGACGCCACCCGAATAGAGCACACCGATAGATGATGTAGTATATAACTATCCATCGAAACAGCATGTATCGATGCAGGTGTAAAGCCATTGAGGACAGAATATCCAGTAATTCTGTGCTCAGACGTAATGTGATGTAGTCTATCACATACAATATTGATAGTACATCGAGAATGGTGTAGCAAATGATCCTTGCAGCCGCTCTGTAAACCATGGCGCTGGTCGGTCTGAAAAGGTAGTAAATAGGTTCAAGCTAGTTTAGTTGCAGACAGGAGCGAAAAACTCCCATCTATTTGTCCGATTAATACGTTAATTCAGTGCTAAGCTGAAAACAGTCAAGCACCTCACATGTGTGATCAGGGTGTGCAACATCGCTTACCCGGAGACGGGTCAGCGACATATCGATCGAGTGCTGAAGTACTCAGCCTGTCGACTAATTAAGCTTGTGCTCATGAACCACATGACAGTCCAGACAGCCTCTGCTAGTCCTACTCGGATATGTCTTACCGTTGTTGTCATACCGAGCACTAAACTGCGGAGGAAGATAACACTCTGGCGCCTCTTTCTTCTTTTGTTTTCCCTGCAAAAATCCAGAAGAATATGATGAACTGCATTCAGAGGATCATTGAAAGCTCTACACAACATGCTTACTCCAGCTTACTCACTTCAGCGTGAAAGCGAGCATGAGATTCCGATCAAAGGTGGAACTTAGTCAGTTTTCGGAACTATTACCAGGAATCAAAAATATGAATGATCCCAAAAGATGTGAAAGCCCATATCGCTTGCTGTGAAATGTGAATGCTAATTTTATGAAACTTCAAGCCACCTAGAAATAATAATAAATTTCTGGCACGTTTAAGGCGTCCGTGGAGTTACGTGACTTGGAAGTTCCGACAAACAGGTCAATCGATCGACAACCAAGGCAGTTATTAAGTAGTCGTTCAAACAGTCGGGCAAACCAATCACTTCGGTCAAGCGTGAAGACGTTCACCCGTTCAGACATGATTTCTTGCTTGCGTCGAACACGAACGATTATTCTAGGACATGGAGAGAACCATTCAAACGAGAGTGATGCGAGTGTAAACAACAGCCTTATTTTCATGCCCCACTAAGAGGAGAAGGCAGAGCGAACTTACTGGCTGCTCTTGCTGGTTTTCCAAGCCCCGAATTTCATCGTCCTGAACGCTGCTCATCATGCGGGAGATGCAGGCCAAGCACCAATAAGTTTTACAGCATAATTCATATTGAAAAGTGCTCTCATTGAATGATAGTTTAGCGGAAACCGATGCAGAAATTTTTAGTGACTTGGTGCTCCAACGCGGGGTATGAAAAGTCTGACGGTGCCACCAACAAACAAAGCAAGTAGCATAATGGGCACAGCTTGGGTCCATGTCCCACAAAAGTGAAGGCCTTGCAGGATTGGTGGGGTGATGAATGAGTCAGAACCAAGGTGATAGCGACACACTGACCCAGTGTTGATCGAACGTGCAAGTGCGAAAAGCGTTTCTGCTGCTTCTTTACGAAGTAGCAAGTTTACTGCATCAGTTCTGATCAAAAGCATGATGTGGATATCTGAAGAGACTCTTCTTCCTAATTTTACAATTCGTCTACGAGGCGCAGATTTTTCAGTATCGACTTTATTGCACGTCAGCTAATGAATGGTTTCACGTCACAAAAAGTTGGCGAGTTGAGGGTGCATGACACTGGAACACTGAAAGACATATACATTCGAACTCGGATTTCTAAACTCACACCACGTACAGAGTGTTGTGATCGGTGATTCTGTACGCAGCTATAAATAAATATTTTCCTCATTGAGGGTAGATTTGATCCCAGAAGCTTTTCTATCCCAAATAGTCACCTCGGCAAACCGGTAGACCATTACACTAAACAGAAACTATTGAATCAAATGCTTTATTTAACGTCATTTCGAAAACAAACCAGTACAGGGTGAGTACACTCATTAACCAGTTCTCGCTTTATAGACCCCCGCAATGAAGACCGGTACACCGGAGTAAGGAAGGCACTTTTAACCCAGATACGTTTGATAATTTTATGATGGTAGTGCTGTCAGGTTAACCGATCTGGTCAGCAAAATTTCGGAGGGCCACCATCTGACAAACAAAATCAATTGACCAGCGAATTACACACATTTGCATACCTATTTGATTTTGACGGGAGACTCACCTGAAACCCAGCTTAATCTCTCATTTATGTTGTTCTTAAGCAACTGAATGTTTTGCAGCAGACCGCCTCAGGTTTCAGTTGGTACGATATTCGAGATATCGCGATACATTGTATAGACTTAATGCTTAAGAACATCATGAACGAGAGATACAGCTGGTCCATCTTCCATCAAAACCCAGCTGGTATGCAGACGAGTTTAATTCACTAATTTTGTGCAATTCAGGTTTAGGCAAAACATGAGGTTGACGGTAACTTGGGACTGCGCCTACATAATCAGCCCCAAGAAGGGTAAAACTAGTCATGAGCTGTCGAAGAGTATTCAGCAACCTTATGAGTAGTACATCACGTCCAAAGCCTCTTAACCTTTGTTCGAAAAAGGGTCGTTCAGTTAGAAACGTCGTGCCTTGAGACGCTACTCACCTGTCCTACAATAAATACTTGTTAGCTTATTACATCTTGAGGCTCATGGCTACTCAGTAAAATTCTTCCTAACCGTGCTATGGCCAAGTCCTAAATTTGTCCGGCTGTTTTGTACAAATAAGTGTCGCTCGGACAAGGCGTCGTTCGTGATTCACCAGAAAAAGGCTATGAAATGTGCTTTACTCACCCACAGTCCTTCTGCTAGGCGAACACAACGTTGCACTGTCTACTCACGAAAGTGGGGGACTTGTGATGTTTGAGTGAAATTAGATGAAATGACTTGGTCGCCAACGCACTGTTTTAGATATACATCCTACACTTCAAGGCACGTATTTCACCCGTTTAGTCTAGTCTACAGAACGCCGAATAAACATGAGCCCCTAGGATTGCAATGGAAGAATGCATGTCTGTGATAGGAACCGTTCAATTAGTGCACCCGTAAGATCTCCCCATAGATCTTTCCTAAAATTTTCGAAACTCGTACAGTACATTCTGCATAAAAATGCAGTAGTCTCCGGATGAGATCCGTTGAAGGAAGGCTGCCCTCCACTAAAACAAGAACAGCTTAGTTCTGTGGGATTGAGTTCAGCTCCACTGGCTACTCTAAACATGGTTTTCGTCTTTGTGGTGTGCTGTTGTCTAATTACGAAAGAATCGAATCAAATTTTCGACATTATATATATATATATTGCATTAACTATCTCCTACTGTTCTCTGAACCACAAGCAATCCGTCAGAAGGTCTTTTCGACCGCTATCTCCGTGAAAACATCCGTTTTAGGGTTCCAAAAAGATAGTTCTCTTGATAAGAATGACCATACAGAGTAAAATGAAGGGCGTTTTGAATAGAATAACCTCGATAGCAAGGCCGGTGAATCG